GATCTATTTGCGTGACCTCGGAGTCTTTCCAGTGAGGACTTCAACTCTTTATTTTCATCCAACGTGCTTCGTAATTCCTCCCGATAATCCTACAGTGTATTTTATACAATTATTAAACTAAACAAATCAGGGTGTCCACCCTTTGGTGAAGGTGAAATTCAATGACTTTTCCAGGACTTTCAAGGCCCTTTTTCATTATATTCAAGGACCTTGAAAAAATCTTTGAAACTGGTACAGATTTATCGTAAATAATTCACTAATTTTAATCAAAATCACTAATGTTGGCACAGCTGGAGATTAAGGAAATTAATTCCAGGACTTTTGAAGACTTCTAGTGATTTTCAAAGACTTTCCAGTCCTGGAAATTTTTTCCAATTCAAGGACTTTCCAGGATTTTCAAGGCCCGAGGACACACTGTCCAGCATATGAAAAGGGAGTTCTGGCATTTGAAAAGGGAGTTCTGGCATTTGAAAAGGGAGTTCTGGCATTTGGAAAGGGAGTTCTGGCATTTGAAAAGGGAGTTCTGGCATTCGAAAAGGGAGTTCTGGCATTTGAAAACAGAGTTCTGGCATTTGAAAACAGAGTTCTGGCATTTGAAAAGGGCGTTCTGGCATTTGAAAAGGGAGTTCTAGTATATGAAAACGGAGTTCTGGCTTTTGAAATTGTCTGGTTTTCAAGGTTACTACAGAAGGAAAACAAAACGAATATACCGAAAACTGGCAATATATATTTAATGCCATACAGTAAAAGTTTACGCAATTGTTATCAGGTTGGTTAACCCTCTGCTAAACTTTAACCTGTTGTTTTAGTTTATGTATTTCTGCACGTATATTTATTTCAAAACCTCAGAGAAGAAAACTTCTACTGATTCAAACAAGATTTCTGAAGAAATATTCTCAAATTTAGAAATAAACTGTTAGGGTTAAGGTAATCGGCGGTCACAGCTAGGAACATAAAATTTATAGGTTTATAAATGTGAGTAGGACCTAGAGAACAAGAAATCTAGACTGGAGGCATTTTCATGAAATACATGTTCGGTTCTTTGAGGCATTGCAGCAGATCGACTAGAACAGGAATTTACATGATGTCCTAAACCAATCACAGCGACCATTAAGCATGGAACCATACAAAGCATTGACATGAAGACAACACAAATTACCTGTAAATTAGCTGAGTGTAGCTAAGTGTAATTGTTTCACCTTAAATAAATAATTGTATTGTATTTGCATTCACGTCATTACAATCTCTCCCGCTCAAAGACGTCAGATCAAAACACATCATGCGACTGTCATACGTCATAACATCAACACATTCGTATATTTGAAACTTCATGTAATACAACAGTGAATAGCCCATTAATCATATAACCATGCAATGAATGTCAACACAATGAACACAAGATCTCAAATGTATACAAGTCAGATTGCAGGAATGAATTTCAAGTTCATACTGTCCTGAAGACGGAACATAGCAACGGTAGGATCGAAAAAAAACAACCCGATTCTGTACACATGATATAGAAATTCCACAAAATATACCAATATATTTACCATAATTTCGTCCTCTTGTGCTTCAAGCAGTCGTTTGCTGGCATTCAATTGTTCTTTCTTTTTCTGCACAGACCTCGTGCTGTCATGAATGCCCACCTGGTGAGAAAAAAATCAAAGATTCTTGCAGGAAAGATTTAAGACCAATTTTGACACGATATAGGGCTATAGTATAGTATAGTATAGTATCGTATACGATTGTCATTCTGCATGGCGTATGAAAGTAACTGCTAACGCCACTATTCCTGTTCATCATTTTATGGTGAAAATTGAAACGCGACATCTTTACATGCATTTATAGTCGAGTAGCTACATACCCTAGGGTAAGAATCGTATCGTGTAGATAGGCCTTTAAGGACAAACAAAAAACTATTTAACTTTTTACTCTTTTTCTCAGCCTACCTCATGTCGTAATGTTCCTATTTCGTCCATCAAGTTGCCAATTGTTCTCTCATAAACTCTCAGTTTATCTCGCGTCCCTTCTTCCTAAATATAACATTCACGCAAATCAATGCTATAACAGAATATTTTGAAAAATCATCAAACTATTTATTCTCCAAAGTAAATTGTTTCGTACCTCGGAGGTGTCAAGATCATCAACTCTAAGAGAACGTCTTGTACTTGTCAAATTACTCGGGTCAATCTCCAGTCTGTGTGTGTTACCCTATAACACGAAACAGAAATCAGGTCATCACATCACACAGCAAAGGCAGGTCCTCAGGACGTTAGTAGCCAGCTTTCTTTATTTAGCAACCGAGTTAGGTATAACCATGGATTGTAAAATAACTGGATAGGAAACTTCATGACGTCACAGTCTAAACCTAGTTGCAATCTGTGACGTCACGCGTATTGACAAAGTTCTCAGCATTTTTGTTGTTTCGCTATATTTTCCGCTTTAAAAGAGTAATATTGAAGCATAAACTGGTCTAATTGTTTTAAAAACATGCCTAAGCCAGGACAAAGTATTCAAGCTAGGTAAATGTTTTTCGTCTTTGTAGCTACGAAATTGGCGTCGCCAATTTTAACGAAATTTGCGATGCATTTTTCACTGTTTAGTGCTTGAAATATTTGCTAAAGTTGACTGGGAATACTTAGAGATTTCATCGTAGAATGGCGTAGTTATATTTATTTGCTCTTTGACTAAAATGTTTTGCTGTATTATTGCTGAACATGCCGTTTTTGAGAATTTGGTATGCAACTAGGTTTCAACATCCAACAGCATTAGGTCACGTCAGCTAGTTTCCTATCCATTTATTTTATTATCCATGATATAACGCACCTCCCAAGCAATAGTCTTCTTGCTACCAGGAGAAGTTCGTGCTGGCGGTGGAACAAAATGAGGTTTATGTGTTACTGATTTTAATGCTGTTTGCTTCTATAAAATAATAAATGACATCATTTAGTCTTCATCAGTGTTCATTCATAATTATCGGGGAGAGGGGTTATTGACCAATATGTTAGCGATAATAAATCCACTATCATATTTTTATAATTTCAAGTTCTTACACTGGATTTGCTTGAAGCATTAGCTAATCTTCTGTGACTGTGCCTTATTCTTTCCTAGAAATAAAAATATTGTTGTTTACATTGCTGCTATAGCCAATTCAACCCTTTAGATAACTCACATGCCTACAATTCTAGCAAAAATTATGTGGACACCTAACTTTTCTAACGCCAATATTAACATTGAGACGTTCTTTCATGAAATGTGTCGCCCCCCTGCCCCCTATTCAATGTTGTTTTTCGCATTTAAATTTTAAAAGTATGTTCGGAGTTAGTTGATTTACCAACATTGAATTGGGGGTAGGAGGGGAAGAATTTTTTTTTTTTTTGGGGGGGGGGATTAATTCTGTAGAAATACATCTATAGTTTTGTTAGCATGACGCACGCGGTGTGGGGATTGTAGTTACTATTGTTCCAGTTTACAGAAGCATAAAATACGACAAAGGTATAACTAAGTATTAGAGTTATGTACAAGAGCTATTCACTCATGTAAATAATTGTAAAGCTTAGTTACCTTTGTTCTATTCTATGTTTCTGTAAACTAGAACAATAGTTAACTAGGCATGTGAGTTATCTAAAGTTGTGAATTGGGTTTCAAAATTCATTAATAATTCATTAGGAAAACACAAAGAAAAATCATAAGCGTGTCGTATCTTTATATGTGATAGAGATTTCCCGTGATTTACATAAACTTTAAAGAGATATGGCAATATACTCAGTTTTTTAAGTCAATTATATAATACCAAGATGGCGGACTGCCCACTGGCATGTCTTTGGTGAAAATATTTCGAAAACCAAGCAAGGTACGAAAAAGTTGTAAAGGGTCTTCGAATATAACTTTAACAAAGTTAATTTTAACTTTGATTTTCTCGACTTACACAACGTATTTTTTGAAAATTACTTCGCCAATGAACTTACTAGATCGCTAGTTTTTGAAACAATTTTAAAAATTCGCAGTTCATTATCAGACCAAAAGATAATCGGCTTCGCCTCGCATTATTTATATCTGATCAAAAACACTGCTGTTCATGTTTTAAATAGTACATAAACAAACGTTAGTCAAATTTGACTATAGATACAAATATCAGTAGCATGCAAAATTGTTCGTATACGCGTAACAGCAATCTACCCCTCTCGCTGTCCTCTCCCACGTACAGGGGTGTGTCCCCAATCTAAAAATGCAGTGGATTAGAAAATGTAAATGATGTAGCTATATTCCATAGAGGCATGTAACAAAAATTCGAGACCTCAGAGATACCTCAATATTTTGCCTTTGGCTCATTTTGCATTAATTTGTGCACATTATACACTGTTCCTATTTTGAGCACAATTTGCATTTGTTGCAGCTAATATGGCCCCGACACAAACCTTTCCTACGACAGTTTAAAAGTTATTTTCAAGCTTTATTATAATCTAAACTAAGATTTCCGCCTGGTGTATCAATTGCCACAGTTTTATTATAATCATTTAACATTTCTGAATAAATCAAATTAAAACACACAAACAAAACTTAGAATACTTTACTACTTATGAAAGCTAACACATGTGCACCTTACTATTTGAATGAAAACTATATCTAACACGATACCTTACCACTTATGTAAAGTAAAGTGACTTCTAACAGTACAATGCAAACTATCAAATATTTTACTGGTAAACGAATCTAAATATTTCGTCTATATATTTGCTATTTTGTTCATTATTACTGAACAAGATTTTAAGTACTTTTTAAAATACTTTGGTTATATGTCAAGCTTCGACGATGCGTATTTTGTCATTTGCACTATGCAAATTTATATGAAGCCTCAAAGATTGCGACTTGGGTAAATCAACGTGAAATTGCTGACCAGTAGGCAAATGTAGTGACAGCTTCGCCGCATCGCAATCCAAGACTAACTCAACCGTATCGCCTTGCTTTGTAAGATTTCGTAAAGTAGTCTCGTTTGTAAGTGACCCCTCTTTAAATACTCCTTGCCAACTGCTGGACCCGAGTATCCATCCATAAGAACCAGGCCAGCTATATGAACGGTCATTCTGTGATACAACATCCGCTTTCACGACCCCAACCAGCATCCAATCATTATTTCGAAACGACTCTATCTTCAACTTGCGACGCACAATCCCTTGGCGATACGTATTTTCACCAAGAACGTATCTATGCCCTGGAGTTGAACCATGTATGGCAACTTTACCGCCTTCCTGAAGAGTAACTCCAGTGCTGTGTAAATTAAATTTCTCCGGTGGCCCAATCTCAGTGGGGACGATTTCATTCGTCTCACCTACAGACATCACGATTTCATCGCCCAAACCAAGATATCGACAAGATCGCCGAAATGTTTCACTTGGTCTTCAGCGAGTTTCGGTCTGAATGGCTTAGGATTCTCCGCGGTCGCGATTGTCCTCGCGCGAAGATAATCCAAGATATACACAAAGTATTGTGGGTTGAAGTCAAAGAAAATTCCGAGGAAAATTCGACCATCTTCATCACGAGCGAGACTGTCTTCCCATCTGCCGCTGAACATGGAAGCGAGCAACGAACCTTCGACTTGACAGAAAGTTGATCTCTTTGTCGTCATTTTTGTCCCACCGACGTTGAGATTGATTATATCATCGTCGCTGACTTCGACTGCTTTCATTCGAAGCTTTTCTGCTTTGTACGCTTCTACTTCCGCCCTCATTTTGGCACGCTCGCCTTCGATAATTTCATTGAATTCCTGCTTGAAACGCTTGACCATTTCGTCGAATTTCGCCAGCAAATCTTCACTGCTCATTTTGCACTAGGAATGACTTTCGGTTTAGAAAAAGAAAGCACTACAGCTTTAAAAGCACGTAATGAAATAACTACTCAAGCTCGACTTCGTAGTAAAAGCTCTCTCTTCCGGGAAATGAACTATTGTGAAATCTGGTGTCTCTTTGTGCTGACATCTGATTGGAGATAAATGAACAATGATAACCGTTTCATGTTTCAATATAAAAATTTACACTCTATGGATTCTAGTAGCAGTAATAGTAAACATCAGGATATGGACATCTCACTTGATAGAACTAATTGTTGAAGAGATTTGTAGATGTTAATTTCGAGTGTAATTTTATAAATTTTAGATCAAATCCCAGTCCCTCTGTGAAATTGAACGAAAATCCCAGAGCAGGTGGTTCATCTATGTGATGACTTTTAAACACAATTCTGCGTTCAATTGCCCCGTTTTAGAACTAGTTTTGCCGAGAGAAAGGTATATGACTGACTTACAACTGCAGAAAAATGACCTCATTGAGCCATAACTCGGTTTAAGTTCAGTTTTCCTGGACTCTTTTACACAAATACAACTGTCTTTATAATGGTATTTGGGCTTTCCCATTTTTGTGTCTTTCATTCTCAGTAAGCCAAATCCTATTTTCCCAGTTCAAAAATACGCAAATCCCAGTTCCTATTAACCCCTCCAGGACCCTCTACATCCAGAGGCCAGTTGTCGAGCTCTAGCCACAAGTTTATGTATAAATACCAAGGTATAATGTCAATGTACGGTGTATGGGTCAATATCAAGATTTTGGGCACGTACACTTATTGTTAAGTAGATGTGAGTGTAAATGTCCAAAATCCTGATAATTAGTCATGTAACACTTGTAAGGCAAATTAAAACAAGTAAACAAGAAACAAAGTTAGAATACTTCACTACTTATGAAAACTAACATACTGTATCTTACTATTTAATGTGAAAATTAGCATATGTTACTATACAGTCTATACTTATGAAAATACATCTTACTTGAACATACTATCTTACCACAAATGAAAACTAACATGATACGTGCATAGAAACTATATATATATAACATGATATCTTACTACTTATAAAAAATAACATGGCACTGGTAAATGAATCTAAATATGGTAAATGAATCTAAATATTTCGTCTATATATTTGTTATTTTGTCCATAAGTCCATTCCTCCTGAACAAGATTTTAAATATTTTTTAAAATAGTTTGGTTATATGTCAAGCTTCCACGATGCGTATTCTGTCATTGTTACCATTCAAATTCACATGAAGCCTCCAAGTTTGCGACTTGGGCAGATCAACGTGAAATTGCTGACCAGAAGGCAAATGTAGTGACAGCTTGGCAGCATTGCAATCCAAGACTAACTCAACCGTATCGCCTTGACTGATCAGATTTTTTAAAGTATTATCGTTTGTGCTTGACCCGTTCTTCCATACTTGACCAGTATCCCCAAGTGCCCATCCATAAGACCCAGGCCAGCCATATGAATAATTGTCATTCTGTGGCACAACATCCCCTTTCGCTACGCCAACCAGCATCCAATGATTATTTTGAAACGACTGTATCTTCAACTTGCGACGCACAATCCCTCGTTGATACGTATTTTCACCAAGAACGTATCTGTGCCCTCCTGAATTATTGACTGCGACTTTACTGCCTTCCTGAATGGTAACTCCAGTGCTGTGTAAATTAAATTTCTCCGGTGGTGCAATCTCAGTGGGGACGATTTCATTCGGCTCATCTACAGACACTACGATTTCATCGCCCAAGCCGAGATAATGGACAAGATCGCCGAAATGTTTCACTTGGTCTTCAGCGAGTTTCGGCCTGAATGGCGCGGGATTCTCCGCGGTCGCGATTGTCCTCGCGCGAAGATAATCCAAGATATACACAAAGTATTGTGAAGTCAAAGAAAATGCGACCATCTTCATCACGAGCGAGACTGTCTTCCCATCTGCCGCTGAACATGGAAGCGAGCAACGAACCTTCGACTTGACACAAAGTTGATCTCTTTGTCGTCATTTTTTTCCCACCGACGTTGAGATTGATTATATCATCGTCGCTGACTTCGACTGCTTTCATTCGAAGCTTTTCTGCTTTGTACGCTTCTACTTCCGCCCTCATTTTGGTACGCTCGCCTTCGATAATTTCATTGAATTCCTGCTTGAAACGCTTCACCATTTCGTCGAATTTCGCCAGCAAATCTTCACTGCTCATTTTGCACTAGGAATGACTTTCGGTTTAGAAAAAGAAGGCACAACAGCTTTAAAAGCGCGCAATGAAATAACTACTCAAGCTCGACTTCGTAGTAAAAGCTCTCTCTTCCGGGAAATGAACTATTGTGAAATCTGGTTTCTCTTTGGGCTGACATCTGATTGGAGATAAATCAACCATACGTGACCATGGTATCATGTTTCAATATTGATACACATTGGGACAATCCAGGGGGGTGTAGAAGAGTCAGGGCTCAGGTGGGCTGAGCCCCCCTTGCTAAAAAGTTCATGCCAGTTTGGGGGGGGGGGGAGGGGCTGACCTCTCAATATTTTTGCAGATTGCATATTCATGACCTGGAAAGTTCTTTGCTGTTCTTTACTGTAGTGTTGAAATGATGCAGTAATGATGTTAGTAATCTATAATTGATTACTATGATCATACTATTAGGTCATGTATGTGGCTCCAACATGAAATACAGGCATCTGAATTAGCAAAAAATCAGGTCGACCTGAAGTGAAAACAGGTCGGCACCAGGTACTGTTGCCTGTAGGCAAATTTAGGTTTCCAATAAAAACATGTCTGTAGCAATATTGGCGAGATTTACACTTAAGAAACCAGGAGGTTAGAGAATTGTATCACATCTAGTTACTGTACTTAACTTAACTAAATCATAACCAAACATATTTGAAGTGTATGATGTCTGATATCCTTTTGAATTTGAGTTGTGACTTACACATACATTAGTAAAAACATATGTATACAAATTATATTCCTTTGCGTTTTACTCCCTAAATTTGTGTCAGGAAAGTATAGAATATATTGATAAAAATTGCACGTCGGCAATTTTTTTTGTCCGTCCTGACACGGTGATGTGTCAGCATTTGCCGATTGCCAACCTGAATTCAGAGGCCTGGAAATAGCTTCGGTATATCAGAATTTTTTATTTCAAGTCCTTTAAATTCTTAAAAAAAAACACCAATTGAAGAATTACTAGAACCAAAAATAAATACTCATGGAACTTATCCATGCCTTATTGGCTTAATTATCACCACACCCCTGTTGTTATCATTTCAGTCCTACACCACTGGGACAGTCTACTTTTACATACATTATTCCTCCTCCCTTCCCCCATTGATATCAATGCCCTTCTCCCACCTGTTTCAATGCTGGACAAGTCAGGCTTAAAGTCACTTTATCTAACTTTATCCCCACAAAGGGAAACTCAAACCAATGATGGGGTAGACTTGCTCCAAGTCTCTCTTTCATTGTCATATCGATCCACTATAGTGTACATTACATGACGTAGCACGGAGAGGCGGAGCGAGAAAGAGAGACTTGTCAACTTCAGAAAATCTCGGTTCAAAACTGAACCGAAAATGCAAGACTTGCTTTAATTGTTTTCCTTCAATTTCTTTCTGTATTATTTACTATAATGGAACTCATGTTATTTACACCGTGCTAGATCGATACATATAAACACTGACAGAAAACAATTAAAGCAAGTCTTGCATTTTCAGTTCAGTTTTGAACCAAGATTTTCCGAAGTTGTCTCGCTCCGCCCCTCTGTACTACGTCATGTAATGTACACTATAGTGGATCGATACTATATGACAATGAAAGAGAGACTTGGAGCAAGTCTAATGATGGGGCGGCTTGTTATATGGCACTAGCAGCAACATGTACAGCAGTAGCCTGTAGCGGGCACTTTTCAAAATATTGGCTGCAAATTAGGTTGCCAACACATGACTACCTTTTGTTGTTGGAAATGTTAGTTCTCTAAACTTTTTGCCTTAAATTTAAGCAATATACTGTATATAAAGCTACATTTATAGTCGACCTTTCATGGTTGAAAAATTATTCTTGTATCATTCAAAGGCTTTCAGAAATTATTGCGAAGCATTTGCCCCCGGGTGGTTTCCACCACTTTTAACCCATTGAGTGGCAGCACTCTCCACTTTACGAGTGAAATTGTCTGGCGTTAGACGGAGTAAAATACTCTGGCATTAGACAGAGTAATTACTAAAGTAGGGCCACAAAGGGGGACTGATGAGAATCTAGTTTTGTTATGCAGTCGCGGCCTAATGCTGGTATGCAAACATACAAATAGTTATTTCACCCTGGCTGATCAGAATTCAATTACCACACATACCTCAACTGCAGTTGGAATGCCACGTTCCTTCTTTTTTTTCTTAACATTGACATGTGCGGGTGTACTGTTCTCTATATCTCCATCGTGAAATGGTGACTTAGTTCTTCCACTCTCTCTTTTCATTGCAAAACATTACTAAATTAGATCACAACTCTAGAGAAAAAAGGTGAAGGGAGTATCATTTTAAGCCATTTAATACTTTCTGGCCTTGTATAATGTTGGAAATAATAAAATAGAAACTATTAGGAGCATTTCACAACCCATTGAGTCGCATTGTGCCCTGACGAGCCCTGCTTTATTATTTACTCTGTCTAATGCCAGATGATTTTACTCATCAAGGGAGAGCACTGGCACTTAATGGGTTATAAAATACATGGAAAGTCAGTAATATATATAACATTATTAATAACAGTACACTCGCAGAACTAGTATTGTTTGATGCTGAATAATGTAAGGGATTAGTAGTTGATAGTTACTTTGGACACAGAATCCTTTTTTTTACGTAAGCGCTATTCGTCATGATTCGTCACTCGGCAAGTACCGTAAACAGAAGCAGTCCTCCCTGGAAATACTCAAAATGGTGCATGTCCAGGGGGAACTGCTTCTGTTTACGGTACTTGCTGAGTGACGAATCATGACAAATAGCGATTATGCAAAAAAACAATGGAGATGGACTTCTGTGTATTTTTCTGTACTTCAGATATTAATTGTCAAATTGCCACGAGATAATGTCGATAAGTTCATATAAAACCCCACACACTCATAACGTCAATTCGACATTATTTGTGGCAACATGAATATGGATGTGGCCCCTAAACGAGAATATGTTTATGACATTCAGTATACTGTATAGTTATTAATTGCCTGTCTTCTATCCGTCCTGATCCTAGCTGTAACTCAGTTGGCAGAGCATGGATCTAGTAATTCGAAGGTCTGATATGCACAGATTTTGTCAAAAGGAAAAATATTCTGTGTGCATTTTTATAATACTATTAACAAAGTTGGCAGTCTGATACAAATGCAATATCACTAACATGATTTCAATAATTTTAAGAAGAAAAAAAATAACTATTGGCAATCTATTAAGCATTAAGCGAAAATCACCTACTTCTAACTTTAATTAGTACATGTATACAAATAAAACCAATACTTTATTTACCTCAAAATAATCAACCAAAATACAGCAAATTTCATATCGACTAAATTAATGCGTTAAAAATCCGTGATCACTTTAAAATTCGACAAACCAAAACCCATAAAACAATGCACAGATGGTAAAAAAGCGAATAATTTAAAAATAAATATCCTCTTGTCTTATATTGATGCAAAAATTTCGATATTTGCAAAAGGAAACTGGTAAAAATTTAAAAACATGGCGCCTTCTTTCCAAGATTATAAAACGCTTTCTCATTGGTCAATTCTAAACTCGCATCAGTCTTTTCTGTTAACGCTCGGCCTGTCACCTCCGTCACTGATCTATATATAAAGTTTCTGATACGTTCTCTGATCGTAAATTTTTATTTAAAACACGAGCTTTCGACTGCTAGTCTGCAGTCTTCGACAGGTAAAGTGATATTAAATCATATAAACTATTCTACGGATGTAACTACAAGGACAGTGGTTTACAATTACAATTACAATTTACAACTATAATGACATGCAATAAATTATTGCATGTCATTATAGTTGTAATTGTAATTGTAAACCACTGTCCTTGCCAATAAACAATAAGTATTTCCGCCTACGTTAACTCTAGTGAAACGAGTATACTTATAAATATAAAAACTATGTCTACGATCTGCTCTTTTTTAATAAAAATCTATACTGTTCTGGTAAATGTTGCGCATTGTTGTCAGAATTGAGTGTGGTTGCTGTATGCCAGGACTCCAGTGTTGCTCTGCCTCTGTGTCGATAGGTTGCCTTGTCTAAGATTTCGCACTCATCAAAGTTGATTTTATGATCCTGAGTCCAAGCATGTTTTGCTATGTTTGAGCCGGTGTCCCAGTTGATTTGGACCCCCGTAGATTTGGACCCCCGGTTCATATCCACTAGTGGATATGGACCCCGCGGGGGTCCAAATCTACTAGTATATATGAACCCCCGTTGGCGGATATGGACCCCCCTTCAAAAGTTAAATATATGTAATGTGAACACAATAATATAAA